GTTATTTTATAGCAGTTACCACTCTTTCACTGCTAAAGGCGTTGAGAACTCTCCTCTTGAACACCACACTGAACATCCAAAGAACGAATCTAGTTTCCCAAATGAGCAGGTGGTGATATTTAAGTCTCTCTAGCCATGTAGGACCCTCAACTGCAGAGGTCACACGGCCACAAAAGCAACAATCTCCGAAACCGTTTGACTCCAGACACGAACCAATCCGCATAAAACAGCAATTATCCAGCATAAAAGTATAACAGCTTGAGTTCGCTTTAGTGTCACAACTTGTCAGTATCTCAGCCTCAATAACAGATAGAGAAGTCTGTCAACACTGATGGCTGTTGATATCAGTACAGTCACTCTAAACAAAACATAGTTGGATATACAAACAACCTCTTCGACGTAATACAAAATATCTATGTCGGTGTTACCAAGATCAATGTAAAGAAATAAAACAGTCACGAACAGAGGTTGTGAAAAAGACCTACACAAAAGATCGGTAGCGGCTAGACATTCAAACAAGACCTTTGCAGCGGGATGCAAAGAGGACACTTTATAAAATGTTAATAGAAGCAGAGCATTACCAAGAGATGCAGCGAAGGAAAGGACAATGTTGACAGCGAGGAGAAAATGCTACTACTCCAATTGGTAATTGTGAAGATAACTGGCTTGTGAGGGTCGCCATTGGCGCACGTTCAGACTTGTGGCTCTGTCTTTTCCTCTTTTGGCAGAAAATGAACGTTTATTGGGCGACCCGTAATCGATATAAGAGTATTATTGTTTTGTTGAGAATTTTAACAGTTTCCATTGGATAAAAAATTCCTCCTGTTGTCTGATTTTCCGACGACAAATGTCACAGCTATAATTAGACTTTTCGCCAATAATTTGTAGAGCTTCCTTAACAAGTCAGGTTTTCTTTTCAGTTCCTGACTCATGTGTCTTTACCCTTCTTAGCCATGCTCTTTTTTTGTTTTAAGGTAACATATCTGCGGTTCCTTTATGATAAGCAAATGCTTTTTAGATGAAAAAACTACATAATATACTAATGTTAAGGAACATCGTGGTCCATTCTCATAAATAAAGGAATTCTTGAACTACAAAACCACAACAAAACGTTTGATTGTCTTCTTTACTGCAATTCTCACTTCTCTGAACTTCCAGCACTAAAGAAAGAGATTAAAATTTAATTTAATGTTATCAACTGTTGAGAACGTAAACTGGCTACCGTATGCTAGTTTCCGTTCATTCATAACAGAAAAATTGATTACTTTGCCGCGCGTGTGTTCCCTAAATTCAGAACTCATTAGCGAGAGCCAATTTGCTGGCAAGTCAAAATATGTTAGTGAGTAGAGGTAATCTTTAACTTGGCGAAAAACATAAGCGCAAGGCTGAAAAATATTCGTGAAAATCTTAGCTCGATATCACTTTTCCTCTGAATGAATTCGATTAGGAACTGAAGAGAAAAACACAACTTTAAAGTTAATGAAATTTGCTTTGAAACGAGTAGGCTGTGGTGTGCGGAAAAACAGTGTTACCACCGCAAATAGCCAGCTGAAACGAAACAATTACCTCCATGCGTCTTTTGAAGTAAAATGAAAAAAAAAATAAGCCACAGGAAATATTGAAAATCACCATAGGAAAAGAAAACAAAATGATATTGACCGAAAACGCTTCAACTTTGCTGCTTATCAATGTTCAACAAATTTTTTTTCCACAAACAGTTCACATCTGCTTCCAAAAACAAAGCGTAATGACTCAATAGCTTAGTCATTAAAACCGGCTACGCTCTCACAGAAAGGCACAATCTGTCTCCTTCTGACGGTTTTTTAAAGTATTACGTGCTTACTTATCGGTAGCTGTTATAGTATTTAGCTAGAGACTGGCAAATTGGGTCATTAGGCTTTCAAATACTTTTATTCTTAGTCGCATAAATAAACCGTTTTTGGTTGACAGATATGTCAGCCGCTTGTTTTGATAACACCAAGGGTAACAATACATGATTATTGACACACTTCAGTTGTTGTTGTACAGGTGCTGGTGTTGGTGGCCAGCCAAGACCTTTCAAGTTTATTTATATTTCCTTCATTGACATTAATTTTACAAGATATGGATAGAAAAATGATCCATTTTCCAATATTGTCTTCTCGGAAATGTTTGCATTATTACGATAAGTTGTGATGCCAATCGGCCTATTGAAAGTTTATCAAATGATTATTTCTTAACCCTTCACCAAGGTAGAGTTAACTAGTGGTGGATATTTACCAAGCTGCCAAGCGCAGATGTAAATATCTACCCTAGCCACCGGCATAGATGAATATTTGTTTTTTATATAATTTAATACTGTGAGATAAAATAATACAAAAGATGATTTTGAATAATTTATTCCTGTAATACTCACAACATTTTTGGGCGCAAATCCCTGGAGGTGAATGGAGAAGGATGTGCGGAGTAACGTTTTAGTGACTACTTTTGGGTTCCTTATATCTATATATGGATCGACATATGTCAGATTTGCAGGAGATTCAAAAAAAAATTTAATTTAATTTCGTGTGCAGAAATTTCAAAACCCTATCTAAACGATAAATACTTCCATATAAGCATATTAAACAGTCAAAGAGATAAATACTGAAAAAAAGGCAAAAACAAAATTTTTGAGATCGACATCAAGTCACCACCGATCTTTTGATCGACGATCGTGGTTTTATTTCACTTTCATTTAAAGGACACTCCCTGTCCCAGAAAAAAAATTGTTGTCTTAGCCCAGCCTTGAACTGGGAGAGAAATCTGAAATTTAGTATCATCCAATAATATTCAGTAAAACAAGATTGAGGGGCATATAAAAAGTCATTTACATAAATTCTGAACAAAACAAGTCATGGAATAACCGCTTGTGGCACTCTGGATTCAAAAGACCAGAGAGTCAGGGACTCAAATTTATGAGCGCTACTTGTTTTCTAACAGATGGATTAATGATGAACTAAGCCACGCCAAAATGCCCTCGTTTATTTTGTCAAAGGCCTTGCTCATGTCAAGAAACACGACGACGGACAGAAAGAAAATAACTGCCGTTGCCTATTTCTCTAAAAAATCATAGCACAGTACTTCTCAAGATGAAAGTTGAAGTAATGGGTTAGGCAATATCAGCGTTATATGTTAGTGCTCGTGAAAAAACAACTGAAAATGACTGAATGAGAATCCATTATCATATTAGCTCGTCTGTGTTTCTCGAAAACGCCATCTATTGCTTGATTAAACTCGACATATTTGCTGACATGGTGCACCAGGAAAGTACGATTAGTGTCAACAATATTCAAACACAATATCCCGAGACGCCAAAATGCCTGAAACTGTGGAGATAAAAGTAAAAAATCATGCTTCCTTGGCACTTGGAAAATCTGCCTTAGGCCAACTTCCGCACTAAGAATCATCACAATGGGGTCATTTATGTTTCAAACTTCTAAAACACTTTTCTCAGACAATGATTAGAAGCAGTGATGTGAAATAACAACATTCAAGACTAATCAGCTTAATAACGCCTATCTAATCAACAAATTGGAATAGAGAACTCGATTGAAAAGGCCGGTGAGTCAGTAGCTGTCTACAAAAAGGATAAAATGTATTGCGTTAATAATGTTTTGAGGATATGCTACTCCTGGTTGCTAAGCGAGCGTAAGCTGGGAATAGAAAAATATATACACTTATCAGAACTAACGCATGCGCAGCGCTACTGGATTTTCGTCAATCTTACTCTTTGAAGGAGGCCAGATGTCATTTTAGTTTATGGTATCCTTCAAATCTACAGTTAGATCCAGACCAGCAATTTTGCTGCAATGAATGGAGTAAACGAAACGAGTTTAGCTTAGATAAGTTTATTGAAGCATTTAGGGAGTGCTTTACAACAAGTAAATTATTCTTAATTAGATTAGGAAATATTACTTATACTAGGAACAACACTCACAAACTTGCGCAGCATTTCTGACTTGATCAGTTATAAAAAAATATCTTAACAGCAATTTCTTTTTTTTTTTTTTTGTCTCTATCAGCCTACAGTCAATAACATCAACAAAGCACTGACAAGTGCACCAAGTGAATAAACGGTAAACTAAGAAATGCAAAAGTGAAGTAAATAAACAAGTTTTTCTTTGAAGGAAATTCCACTTAACCTCCGTTTATAAACTATGAAAATGGTTATCATCACTACCAAAAAGCATTACTAAAGTAAAAGTACGAAAAAACCTACGTCTTAAAATCAAAAAACTATGAAATATTGAGGCTGAAATTCTCGAAATATAAACTACAAATTACCACAGAGTGTTATAAGACTACAACCTTAGAGGTTCAGCAATTCTGCTATTAAGCCTCAGTCCTGCACAAGAGGAGTTGCTTCAGATGACTCCTCGTCTTCGTCACTTCCAGTTTCGTCTATATCCGCAGCAGTAAGTTGATTACCATCATACTCTTGTACGCCAGCGTCTCCGTCAAAAGGTCTACAGCATCACTTTGGTCGTCCATATAGTTTCCAAGATCGTCTTGTTCATCCTTCGTGTACTCTAGTTGGCAAGTCTTAGGTTCTTCTTCTACTGCCTCCTTTTCAGATTGAACTGCTACAGCACCTTCATAACCAACGGTATTTTCAGGTTCACTTGTTACACCTTCTTCGTCATCAGTTTGAATTTCTGGAGGAAGACGGAATCACTGAGGCCTTTTTTCGCTTAGAGGATTGTATTCTAAAGAATCAAGATCTTCTTCTTCGATCACACAAGGGAATGGTGAGGTATCGGGTTTGTTCACCTCATTTGCGGAGCGTGCGAAAGAGGTAGGATCTTCTTTTTCAGTAACAGAAAGGCATTCTGTGGCTTCCAAATCTTCTTCCCCAGGTACAGGGGAGCATGCTGAGTTATTGGAATCTTCTTCCTCAACCACAAGGGGGCATGCTAAAGAATCAGAATTTTCTTCGTCAGTCACAAGTGGACATGCTGAAGCAGCTAGACCGTCTTCGTCCATCACCAGGGAGGATGGTAAAGGATCAATTTGTTCTTCCTCAATCGCAAGAGGGCACTCAGGTCATCAATTTCTTCTTCCTCAATCGCAAGAGGGCACTCAGAGTCATCAACATCTTCTTCCTCGTTCTCGCTAAGGTATGGTAAAGTATCACTCTCCAAAGGGTACGCTTGGGCATCCATATCTTTCTTATCACTCTCAAAAGGGTATGCTGCGCAACCTTCTTCTACTTTGATTCTGAGAGGGAAAGCTGTAGCACCATCGTCAATTCCAACCATAGAGGGATATGCCGTAGCACCGTGCTTACCCACTTCACGGGCGAGATTTCCTGCAGCTGCCCCTTTGTCTTGTAAGTTAATAGCGAAGGGGAAAGCTGTAGCACCATCGTCAATTGCAACTAATAAGGGATGTGCAGCAGCACCGTGCTTACCCACTTCATGGGCGAGATTTGCTGTAGCTGCCCCTTTCTCTGGTACGTTAATAGCGAAAGGGAAAGCTTGAGCACCATCGTTTATTGCAATCACAAAGGGATGTGCCGTAGCACCGTGTTCACCCACTTCACGGTCGGGATCTGTTGCAGGTGCTCCTTCGTCTCCTACGTTAATTCCAGGAAGGAAAGCTGTAGCATCATCGTCCACTGCAACTGCAAAGGGATGTGCCGTAGCACCGTGTTCACCCACTTCACCGATGGGATTTGCTGCAGCTGCTCCTAGCTCGTCCGGTCCCGCATCTTCTGGGTTTGCAACAGCTCCACGGTCATCGACAAAGTTGTACTTATCCTGATCATACTTGTCATCGTCAAAGATATCTACATACGTCTATGAAAAAGATTAGAAGGTAATCAGGAACTGCATGAGCTAAAAAATCTTGAACGAATGAATTTCAAAAATTCAACAAAGAAATTCCAAAAATGAGTCACTAAAAAGAAAAAAAAGAGCAGATCAGATATCAATCACAAAGACGAGAACCATTAGTACTTGCATGAATTGATAAGAATAAAAGTCAGGTAAGGTCTTCCTTTCTGTCAAAGTTTTCCAAAAGTGTTATTTTAAGATCTGTTCCGTTCTTTCTTGTGTGTAGACAACAGAGGGAAATAAGGATGATCCAGACTAACATAACGTAACCACTCTTGCATATGTTTAAAAGTAACATTAGTTCATGATGAAACTGAATTCACAAATTGTTAGCGGCTGGGTAGTTAATGCGTTTTGACATCACATTGAAATGAAAAGAAATTTGCAATTGACTTGGTAGGATACCAATTTCAATTTCTGAAGTATATCCTGAATTAGACGCTGTATGGCAAACCTTTGTTTTAATATATGTATCCATTGTTTGGTAGAGCTTCACAAAGTGTGGTCGGCTGGTGCTTTCGTATTTCCAGCAGTTTAACATCACCGCGTATCTATAGAAAAACACAGGGACATATGACCTCAGTAATTCTGCGGTAGGCATTAATATTGCAAGTAGCGAAGTTGAGAAACCACAACTAGTTACAAAAATAAACTGAAATGCCAAGTTTATCTCATTACATTGCAGCTCAAACGAATTCTGTGATGAAAAACCCAGCATATTCTTTATTCGACTCAACAACTTTTCATTTTAATTTTTTGTAGTGACAAGATAAAAATAATTTCTTAGGAAGGCTACTTATTCAGAGCGAGTGTATCAAAACACCTGACCACAGCAGCAATCGATGTTGCTTTTTGACTTATATAACATTCCACACAAAGGAAGCAACACTTTACAAACTGTCGTCGATATGTTCAGGCTTTGGCAGACGATAACCTTCTTCGATTTTTTTCATTGTCGTGGACTGAGACCATCCTTCGTAAGGAATGCCTCCTGTGGAAAAATAATGTTTTTCTGTTGGCCGAAAAAGCACACTTTTTTTTGTTGTAATCACTTTCATTCCTCTCAGCGCAATCGAAATGATTCTTCTGTCAAAACGACAATTAATTGCTGAAATACATTTCGGTTTTACATCAGATGAAAGAGTACTGTAAAAAAAACAAATTTAAGTGTAGCGATGGATTTAAGGTTTTTCAATAATGTACTAAATACTTTCAGTTCTACTTAAACTTAAGCTTTATTTCAAGTTGCTATGCATCGTCATAATTTTATTTATCAGCGACATTGAGTGTTGCTTCTACTTCTCTATTGTACAATGCTCTTTTGTCCGCTCGGTATCACTCATCAGTTAGTAATTATGCGTGCAATTTCGGCAGGTATATTTCCTGAATATAAAGTAACAAATAAGTTAAGTACCGACAGTGAAGATTTCATACAAGACGATTCCGTAGGACCACCTGTCAAAGAAATGGAAGGATGATGATATATCTCAACTGGGTTAGAAAGATAATAATTACTTAGATACTTGGGATGTTTAGAAACATGCCATCAAGATATAAGCAACCTCCTAAGAGAAAACGCCATATTTTTTTTAGTTTGATTATCCACTCATCCTTTCATCCGTCTTTTCTTGTCCTTAACAGATTGTGGATATTGCTCGTTAAACTTAATATTCATATAAATTCTCATACTACAGCTGTAACCTCAGCTGTTCCTCAACAGCGTTTCCTAATGACCCTCTAATCAATAGATGAATAGAGCACTGAATATTCTAGGTTCTCGCTACGTTAAGGTAGAATCGTAAAAATATTCACTTATGGAAAATATTTAGATAATAACCAATACAGTACGTACACATCGCTTTTGGTTGACAGCTGTTCCACATGTCCAAAGAGAATCTCGGGTGCAGTCCATTTGATTGGGATACATCCCTAGATGAGTAACCAAAATATTATAAACATCTGAAATCTAAAGAGGCTTGTATACAGCTCCTAAAATAATTTGCATATAAGATTAAAACCGTGATGTGAGGATTCACGATAAAGTCAATAGCAGTAGACACCTTTGTACAAATTCTATGAAAACAATTCACACATTCCTTTTTTTGCTTTAAATTTTCTGTTACTTTGCCCTTCGAGTTTGTATCTTTGTTATTCAGAGAACGATATCTCTTCCGGCTTTCTTATTTCCTGTGTTCATTCTTTTTTTTCTGTGAAAGCTTCGATACGCTTAGGATGGCTTCCCATTAAAAGGAAATATGTTTTGCAGAAAGACTGTATAACTGAAAAGAAAGGTTTGTAAGGACAGTAATATTTAATTCTTCACATTTTTATCTTCCATACCAGCAGCCCCAAAACCAATTGACTAAATGATGAAAAATTCTGAAAACTACCTTCTTGGCATTTCCTGGGCCGTATTTGAAATCCTGATAAGAGAGCCCAAAGTCAGTCAACTTGCAGACACGATGCTCATCAAGAAGGATGTTACGAGCTGCAAGATCGCGATGAATTATCTGAAATCGAAAACAAATAATTATTTGATCTGCTAAAAGGGGCTTTTATAAACTACAAAAAATAAAAAAAAAGTAAAATATAGGTAGAAAGTTTAACATCATGCTAATGTCAGACTATTTCTCGGTGAAATAGTGACTCTAATGTGCTGGATATTTTTAGCCGTATGGAGTATTACTTTGACGATTTGCAAGACATGCCATTTTATCACATGCAGGACCTCATGCTGACCAGAAAGAGTTTGAGCACTTACCCTCTGGACGCGAGGAAAGTCATACCATGTGCGATTTGTTTAGCAAACAGCACCATGTCATATGTTGTCAAGTGGTCGACCCCTCCGACCCCATGATGATATTGGTCGAAAACCCCCTGGATTTTCTGAGATAACCCAGCAAGTCACCTCGCCACAGGTACTCCATGATAAGTATTGGCTGAGCTAAAAGGGAAAAACAAGAAAATTATTTTACGGCAAGCAGTGCAGAAGTTCCAAAACGTGTTTGAATTGTACATGCTTTATCTAGTTATACCTCAGGTTATATCTGTAATGAATCAAAATAGAGACAGAGAGGGAAAGTGAAAGAAGAAAACACACAGATAGAAAATAGACGGACACATACGGCTGATAGAAATCTACAGACAGACAGAAAAAACAGAGATGGCAGATAAATAGACAAAGACTTGCCATTGTAAGTTGAAGTTTTATCACAATCAGCATGTTGATTTTTAGAGCTAACATCCTCCAAGTAAAATGCCCCTCATACAGTGCGAAGTAAATTAATTTAAAACAGTCAAACAATTGAAAATAACCATTGAGTTAGTACACCATCTTAGCAAGGACTAAGAATACTGATAGAAGTAATTGTACCAGTGGTTGAACTCAGAGATGTCTCTATCGTTGCTGTGAATTAGCTGATTATAATCATAACAATAGCTGATTACCTCCAACTGTGACACAACCAATGAACTTAACAACATTTTCATGGCCCTCCCTTCCAAAAGAGTTTTTAATAACTCGATCTCTCTCAACAGCAGGGCCTTCCTTCCTTTCTCTCCGGAGATTGCTAGAAACCACACAAAAATTAGATAAACAAACAAACTTTGCATGTCAAGAGAGACAATTAATTATGTGGTAAACATCCACATATAGAATTGTTGTATACTTGATGTTATATTACTAGCGCAAATTATGATGCATTTGGTCTACATAAAAAAAAAAAATTAGGTAACTAAACTCCATATAATCCATACTTGCCAAAATGTCAGTTAGCCGTATTGTTCACTGTATTGAACATGAAATTTACAAAATAAATTCATCCTCGTTGAAAAAATCATTTGTTTGGGAAAACGCTGCTCATCTCGAGCATTGAATCGCGCAATTGTTTACAGACAACTTACAAAAGTAGAGACGCAATTAAGCCTAGAAATTCCACCTGTTATAATACCTAATAGTCGGTCGAATAGATATTTGAAAAGATATGCTCTGTTTCCCGCCTTCTTGTTTCCTACCGTTCATATGGTACATAATCCTTGCTTTTATCCTAATAAAAAGCACAGTAACAATGAGCATTTCCGGAGCTATTGTAAATTCATTTGACTCTGTCAACTTTATTTACAGTCCAACCTGTATTTGCGGTCATGCACGGAAAATGGTTGACCGTTTAATATGGGTTCCACGGAATAGGGCTACTACTGATAAAGGTTAGAAAACGCCACTCTAAGCCATCACGGACCACATAACATACACAACCTCGCTCAAAAATATTACTAACATTGATTTCGGGAGATAAACATAAATTCAATTTACTTGAAAAATTATTCTTAATTTTACTTGAGTACTTCCGCTTTTAGTGACCGTTCTAATAAAGGTGGAATAATATTACAAATAGGTTGTTGGGACTTAAGTAAAGGGTGACCAAACCGCTTGATATAAAAAGTACTATAAGTAAAGAGGAAAGTTCAGGATTTTCAAACCGACCGCTTAATACAGGTCCTACTGCATTGTAATTTTCAGCTTTCCAGCGGAAGAAGCTCATACTACCATATATACTAGATTTGGCAAATTGCTTCGAGATTTTTCGCTAGACTCACCCTCTCAAGGTTCTTTTTGAGATCTCATGACATTATTTCCATCAAAAACTTTCAAAAGGGTAACTTTTGAAACATACGACAGAGTGACATATTTCTAGTATTGTATTATTTTCCGCTTTATACACTTGAATGCAATTTAATCAATAAATTTTCATTTTTCTTCACGCTTCTAATACTCCAAATGATATTCGTGTTCTGTTCTGTTTTAGTAGCGTTGTATGACAAAAGATTTAACAACTGGTCACCCCCTGGAACCATCCGCTAACAATTAATTTGACATGCCAGCTGATAAATCATTTGAACAGCGCATAGTTTTAAACTATCCATGTTATGTATCAGGTAGGTTAATAAAGCATGTTCTAAGAGAAATACTTCATTTAGGATAATTACTTAAAAATTAATAAAGGATAGTTCAATCAAGCTTTGTATGAAAAGAAAAAGACCTGAAAAGTACTTACGTAGGTAGCATTTCGCAGCAACTGTGCGATTTCCAGGTCTGCCACTGGAACGACCCAGTAGCGCTCGCCACACTGAACCGAATGCCCCTTTGCCAACACATGTCGCGAAGGATCAGGCGGTCAACTGCCAATCTCCCCATCCGTCTGTGTTTGCGTTCAGCTGATCCATCTCAACTTCATCTTCCCCTTCACTGAATAATTGCAGATGAAAACAGACTTAACTATCTGTGTTACCTGTATCTATCTTTTCCTTCTTTTTGACCTGGTTTAACATAACGTGGTGAAGATATATATCTTCAATTTAAATTTTTTCTTTTCATTTCATTTCCGGGTGCTTCAGAAAATTGTATCGCACAATGAAAATTATTGAACTAGGGTGAAATTTGGATGTAATTTACTGAACCCGGTTTTCGACGCTTCGACCTAGAGAGGAGATTTTATTGAAAAAAAATTGAATAAATGAAGATAACCTCAAAATAACCTAACCTGACTGTTTTCGGCATTTTACATCATATAAATATCGTGCCTACGCGAGAAATAAAATATAACCAAACCATCCGAAGTATTGTCTACAATCGATATATCGAGTGGTATTTTAAATCGGTCTACAAGACTCCGAGGTATTTCAACTGTAGTTTCTGTAACAAAAAAGTGCGACGAAGGGTCCAAGCTTCTCTTCTTCTTTAAAAAGTACGCCACCCACAACCATGCATACTGGTAACAAAAAAAAAGATACTAAACAAGGTGTTAAAAACAATTGAAGGACGAACGAATCCAAAACAGAAAGAATATTAGGAAACATTTGACCGCCATTTTTGGATAAGAACCTGCCAGAAACTGCAGAAGCATCGAAAGAAAACCTTTTATTTTAGCCAGTGTGCTCTTAATGGTGAATATAA